TAAAAATAATGATAATCAGGTGATAAATTATAAAAATTAAGAAAAAGAGAATTTCGCATAATCAAAGAAAGATTATCTAATTAGAGAAATTTATGTTACTACGGTAACAATAGGACTTAAATATTATTTTCACATTCCTTTTATATTTGTTAATTATCTCTCCCAATCCTTATTCATGTTTATTAGCTAATTAACCTATTAGTAAAAAATGTATAACAATATTATAATCAACTAATTAAAATTCAGAATTATTAAAAAGCTTAAATTTGATATTTAGAATATTATAAATGTCATATTATAAAATTTTAGTTAAAATTATGAATTACATAAAATTAATTATATTATTAATTCTCAGCCAATAAAATAAAGTTATGTGATCAATGAGTAAAATTTAAAAATATTTTCTTTATTAAATAATAACTTTTTAAAGAAAAATGAAAGTTATAAAATCTTTTAAATGATTAAATAAAGTGAAAAATAGAGTAAACAAGATCTTTATATAGCATATATAACAATAATAACTATATTAATTAATTAATTATACAAAAAAATAAAATATAATCAAATTTAGTTAAAAAAATTTTGTTTTTTACAACAAGAAAAGAAGATAATTAATAATTAATATGCTAAGCTATATACTTATGTAAAGTTGATCTAACATCCAAAAATAAATTCAAAAGATATCATATATAAATGAAAATTATAAAGATTATATTAAAATTTATATTATTAAATTTATTTTTAATATAATGTGAAATTTTTATAATCAAAAAAATACTAGTTTTTTTAAATATTATAATATATAATAAGAAAATATTAAAATTCCAACTGATAAATTTAATAAATTTTTATCATAATATTTAGAATTATTAAATAAATTTTATCTAATTTTATTTTTGATCAAGTTATTAGCTTGTAAACTAAAATTATTATATTATATTATTATATAATATATATAATCTAAAAAATTTCTAATTAATTAAATAATTAAATTAAATTTATTATTATATAATAAAAAAATATATTAATCTAAATTCTGATTAATTTTTTTATTTTTGTTATTTGTTTTGTTATAAAAATAAAAAAGAGTACATATTATAAAATAAAACTTTAAAATAGTAAAAATAGATAAAAAAAGTTTGTTTTCTAAATTTCTAACTTGAACAAAAAAATAATACTAAAAATAATAATATTCAAATAAAAAATTGCTAACTTTTAAATTATATTAAATATCTAAAAAACAAAATCAGATAAATAAGTTTATATACTAAAATCATAAAAATATTTATTTTATTATTATTTATTTTGTTTTTTAATAAATAATAAAGTATATAATAATTTAATTATTAATAATAATATTAAATTAGCTTTTTTATCTAATAGTATTAATATTATAAGTAAAAGAAAAAATAATAAATTTGATACAGATTTTGATAATAATATAAAATTTGAACTAAATAATATTGAATTTAATAGTGTTGAAGAAAGCTGGCTTAATAATAAATAAGATAAAATTGATAATAATAAGATCAATAACAATAAAAGATAGAATTAATAATAAAACTAATAATAACAAAAAAATTAGAACTGATAATAATGAAAAACTAACAATAATAAGATTAATAATGAAATTGATAATAATAAAAAATTGGAACTAATAATAAAATTAATTATAATAAAAAAACTGGTAATAATAAGATTAATAATGAAAAAGTCAGCAATAATTAAAAAATTAATAATGAAAAATTTGCTAATAAAATAAGATTAAACTCACTTATACAAAAAAATAAAATATATATTATTATCTTTAATACTATTTTTTGCATTTTTATTTTATTTATTGAAATATAATTTAATATAAATGGAAAGTTGTATTAAAAATATATCAAAAAGATCTATATTAAGTAAAAGTTATTTGAAATATATTAATTAAAAAACAATATATTTTTAAAATCAAAGCAAAATATTACACATTTTGATTTTTAGAGCTCTTCTTAATATTATTATTAATTGTAATTTGTTTTTAATTAATTATCTATTTTTAGTTTTTAATTGTGAATTTTTATTTAGTAATTTAAGATTTGATGTATAATGTGTTTTCTTCTATTTTATTTAATAAAATAAAATATTGCTATTATTAATAAATATTTCTTTTATATTTATTTAGTATATAAATAGTTCTATAATAATATAATACTAATAATTTGGTTGAATATTCAGTAATGTATTATTATAAGCAGAATATTCTATAATATATTTATTTTATGAATAATTAATCTCTTTTATTATATTTAATATTTTTAATAATTTAAATTTATTTAGTTTAATTATTAATTAATTATTATTTAATTATCTATATTTCTATTGAACAAATTTGAAATCACATAATCTTTTTACATATAATTCAAACAAGTAATTTTTTTCTATGTGATTTATTATTTATTATTATTTATTTTTATAATTTATTATAATTATTATAATTCTTATAATTTCTTGTAATTTCTTATAATTTATCTGAATTTATCATAATTGACCAGAATTTACTATAATTGACTAGAAATTATCTAATTTCACTTTATTGTCCATTATCATTTATATTAACTGTAATTGACTATAATTAATTGTAATTAACTGTAATTAATTGTAACTGACTGTAATTAATTTTTCTTAAGTTTTTTTTTTGCAATTGATTACTCGATAATAGCTAGCATTATATTTATATGTAAATGATCCTCATCGGTAGTACCTATCGGATTTTCTTATAACCGGGAGACGGGAGACGGGAGAATCAACAGTTACCATTACACCTCGTATAGCTGTTCATTAAAGAGTGCATTATGTAGTAATGTGTCGACCATTCGATTGCAAAGGAGGCTGAAAATAAAAAATTATGTTTCGTGACAACTTTTAATTGGTCGTAATAAATCACGTGACGTGAACTACTATCAATATAAATGGTGTTAGAAAAATCATTGTTCGTGCAGAACATATAAGGGTGCACTTAACATGCTGGGACTAGATCGTGATGTGCATTTAAGGGTGTGCACCTATAAAGGGTGCGCTTAGAGAGGTATAGCTGTATTTTTTGCCTCCGAAGCATATTCACAATGTAAGTTCGACTTCTCACATATATCCCTGCCCCAAAAAATCATAATGATATTATTACTATTATCAGCAAGAAGCACAATTTGTGAAATATACTGCGGATTACGCAGTTGATATGATATTCAGATCTCAAGGATGCCATTAAGGAGAAAAACTCCGAAATTTAACGAATTTGCACCAAACAAGCTCAAACTTTGGAAGGTAGACGCGTTCCTATCAACGAAGAAAACGAAAAACTAAGAATCATAAACACATCTCACGCCGAAATCAAGAATACTATCACGAACAGCCTTCCAAAAAGCATATTCACATCATTGTCCAGCTATCTGGTAAGTAATACGACTGCCTTCAAGCCTACACTGCTTTCCTCGCTATCATTTCATTTATTAACTTGTACCTCATTAACATTAGGGCGCGAGAGGCTGCGGAAGAGCGTAGTAGAATTGTTGACCTAAGCATGGTATTTCATTCAAATGTTTTTGTCAGATTATATTCTCGTTATCGAAAAGAAAGAAATAGTCGGTCAACAGGACCATCTTGCCATGTGAACGTGTTGGAATTACTATGTGGACCCAACAAAGGGTTGATTGAGTTAATTCTTACTAACGAATATGTATTGGTGCACAGATAGAGAGCCTCCAGCAAATCTGTCCGAGTGTGGGCAGCCATGGAACAGCTGGATGCTTTAGGTTACGTTTGCATATAGTAAGCAACTTTGCTTCTTGATCAAGAATCTGTAACTTTTTCATGGATTATACTAATTGAGATGCACAACGGTTTCTTTATTTCTACTGGATAGCGCAAATTCGAGGGTATCTCTTTCAAAGATGAAGAATGCTTCTGGCTCTTGGCAGGGCTTTCAGATGGGAACTTCTCGACCAGTATGACTCTAATACCTATGGAAAGTTTCGAGGATATCAAGAATTTTTTTGCGAAAGGTAATGAGCTTTGGTCCGACAGGTGCGTTGTTCTCTTCTTTGTGAATTCGATAGATTGCTCTCCAATGAAAACGATCTTTCAAATGCTTCTCATTTCCACCAAACTAGTAAATTAGCCATTGTTTCAAATTTGCTGTAATTATTTCGAAAATGTTAATTGACGCATGTACATGTATTTGTTTGCTATTACAAAAGCTTTTCGCATAAGAAAGTTAGTTGTTATTTATCAAATAGGTTTCCCCTTTGGTCGTTTTACATGACAGCGACGACCATGTCTAAAGAAACATTTTATTTATTCAGGAATAATTGATGTTTAATTTATCAATAGAAGATGCCCTTGAAGTAAACGGATATATATGCCAGATTGACCCTTGATTCAAAAAATTTGGAGACCAATATTAAAAATTGGTGGTATTACAGAAGATGCATTGTCGGGTCAAGCAAAGAAATATGGTATGGTCGGAAAAGGGTTATTTGGTATGACAAGTACAGAATAAGGGTTAGTGTATAGAGTATAGTATAAAACTTGCACCATACTTCTTGGCCTGGTTATATGTTACGTCTTTGCGTATAACTCCGGAAATGGACACTATTGACTTTACATTTGTTCTTAACAACAGTGGTGAGACCGCATACTCAAATGAAGCTTTTGAAAAGCCTTCATGCAATCTATTTTTAAGCATCGACCAATTAATCTCGACTGCAGATTTTAATGAAGAGACTTCAAAGTAGATTTCTCGTCCTCTTAATTCTTTCATGCTCTTCAGAAGGAATTTCGATGCGAACATTGTTGAGAACAGTAAATTTGTTTCAAAGTTCTCAGGTCGAGCATCTAAAGCTTCGCCATGGATGAAGAAATTCTTCAGTGCATTTGCGGAAAAGGCCAAAGCGTCTTTTCCCAGCATAAAGAAATTCTTTAGTGCATTGGCGGAAAAGGCCAAAGCGTCTTTTCCCAGCATAAAGAAATTCTTTAGTGCATTGTCGGAAAAGGCCAAAGCATCTTTTCCCAGCATGTCAATACATAACCAATCGAAAAAAATCTTCCAAAAAAATTGCGGAATTACCTCGTGCCTAGCAGGTCTTCGCAGCATTAAGACCGATGCTTGTCTAAGCCATAAATTCCGTCCTAGGAATCGGTACTTAGACCTGAACTTATCAGATCGGACTTTCTCGCCCTTTGACGTTGCGAAGCTTTCAACAATCCAAATCAACAAGTGAAAACTCTTTACAAGTTTACAAACGAATACCACCTGAAAATTGAGGAACAGATCATCGATGACATATTCGCACAAACGAATGGGTATGTGAAGCATGATGAATTCTGAATTTTTCGCGAAGACATAATTTGCTGACCATTTTTTTTTTTCAACAGACACGCTGATCTCATAAACTTTTGCGGACGCGCGATCATGAAACTTCTGGAAGAGCACCTCCAACGTGGAGTAATGCAGGCACATCAGCTAGACATCAAACTGGAAGCTTTGCAACGCCAACTCTTTATGAAAGGAGATTTCCAAGTACAGCACGTTTGACAGAATGATCAAACCTCTGATATTGTGAACGCCATAAATCTTCTTCGTGCTTACTTCCTGAGTTCTCTCGACATTATGGACATTACAAACTATTGCCGGTGGCCAAGACGTCATAATGTATGACTTCACCGGGATCCAGCGCTTTATGGTAGTTATTATCGTTATTAGCAAATATACCGGCCAAACTAATAAACTTATAAAAAATCCTTAATCTTTAACCTTAAGAGCTATCAACTCAATAATCAGAATTTTTATTTAATTATAAAAAATTATCTGACTAGCGAATCACAAAAAAAAATATATTCTACACTTAAGAATTTGATTATATTAGAATTTTCTTAATTAATTATATAATATTTATTATTTGATATTATTAAAAATCTAACACTTTTTTTTAATTAAACTAACTTTATCTCTTAATTTGTATTTCCGATAAATTTATCTGTGAATTTTTAAATTTTTTAATATTTTTATTATATTATCAAATTATACTAAGTAAAAGTTTTAATATATAATAATTTACAATTAGCAGGATCTAAGCTATTATTTACCAATAAAATTTTTAGATAAATCTGTATAAAATAAAAATTAAATATAAAAATATAAAAATTATATTTATCTTAATATAAATATTCAAAATTAATAAAATTTAATAAGTTAATTTATAAATATTTTGTTAAATTATATATATTAATTTGTAATAATTTTTAAGTTTTAATTTATTTTTAATAATAAAGTAAAATTATTTTCAGACAAATTTATCTAATAATCTTTTTAAAATTTTTTAGATCATATTTAATAGTTTTAATTTAGATACTTATATTAATACAAGTATAAACCAAGTATTTGTTTATATTTACAAGCAAAAGTATTTTACTTTTCTAAAAATTCCTGTTTTTTAAATTCAAATTCAATATTTTTAATATATATATTTGTCAATTGATAACTAATATAATTTATTTAAACTTATATAATATATTTTTTTAATTATATAATTTAATATAAAAATTTATTTTTCAGATAATCATTAATAAATTATTTTTTTAAATATATTTATTTTTACAAAAAAGTAAAACTTTTGAATAAATTATTAAATTATTAATTCTTTAGTAAAATTATATTTTTGAAAAAAAATTTTTATTTTTATTTTTGATAATATCATTATAATTTAAATATTATTTACTTTATATATTAATTGAAAATTTGATATATACTTATATAAAGTTTTATAATTTTTGAATTAAAAATTAAAATAAAAAAATTCTTTTATAAATTAATAATATTTTAGTAAAATTATAACTAAAGATAGATTCTTAACTATTTAATTATATTATAATAGTTATATTTTTTAAAAATAGTTACAATATAAGTATTACAATTAGTCATAATTATATTATTAATAATATTATCAATTTTAATCAATTAAAATTTAAATCAATTTTTTTATTAGTTATAAATTTTTACAAATTTTAATTGATCAAAATTAATATTATTAATATATAATTGTGATTAATTATAATACTTATATTGTAATTATCTTTAAAAAATATAATTATTATAATATAATTAAATAATTAAGGATCCATTTTTAATTATAATAAATTATAACAAATTGTAACAAGTTATAATAAGTTATAACAAATTGCAATAAGTTATAACAAGTTATAGCAAGTTATTACAAGTTGTTACAAGTTAGAGCAAATTATAACAAGTTATAATAAGTTACAACAAGTTGCATTAAGTTATAGTAAGTTATAACAAGTTATAACAAGTTATAGCAAGTTGTAACAAGTTGTAACTTGTAACAAGTTGTGATTTTTATTAAATTTTTTAATAAGTTATAACATATAATTGCAATATAAAAATATTATAATATAGTAATTACAGTTATTATTTTTAGTTATAACTTAATAAAAAAATTTTTTTAATTTGTTTTAGTTTTATAAAATTAATAATATAATTATTTAATTAACTAATATTAAATTATAAATTATAAATTATATAATAGAGTATTATATAATAACTATCAAATTTTTATAATATTATTATTTTTATATAATTTAAGTTATTTACACATTATTAATATGTTTTTATTAACTTAAAGATGAAAAAAATTAAGTTTTTATATTAAAAAACTAAAAACTATTATTAAAAATAAGTAATATATATTTATATTATAATAAGTTAGAATAATTTTACTAAATTTATATATTTTATTTAAAATTTCAAAGATTATAATACAAAATAATAAGTTTTTCAAGTGATTACCTTTCAAGTCAATAATAATAATTTATTATAAGCAATTTATCTGTAACAATTTTCACATACCCTTGTAATTTCTTGTATTATGTCTATCCTTTTTCGTGTTATATTTATCATTTTTTGCATAACATGTTAGAAATTAACACAGATCTACATTTAATACTTCTTAATGTTTCGCTAATTAGATTAAATGTAAAATGTAGATTATATTATTAATTTGGATACACATTGTTTTTAATTACTTTTATTTTTGTTTGTGTTTTAGTTTTTCTTTTGTTTTTCTTTTGTTTTCTTTTATTTTATCTTTTTTTT